TAGTCAGAGACATATTAGAGGCAGAAACAGGAGTTAGGAGGGGTAGAGGTAGACCTAGGTTAGATTACTGTTCGCAAATAGTTAAGGATGTAGGTTGTTCTAGTTTTAGGGAAATGCGAAGTTTAGCTCAGGATAAGAAAGAGTGGAGGTACGTGTCCAACCAGTCTTAGGACTGACGACCTCATGATGATGATGTTGATTTACTTCAACCGCTTCCATTGCTAGCCCACTGCGTGTAAGGGTCTGGATAAATGTGGAACCATAGGTTTCTACTTCTAATTATTTTCTATGATAAAAGAAATAGACAAATGCGGAACCCTTATTTACCAGAATACTATATAAGACAATAAGTTAAACGAAATACAAAACTTGAAAAGAAAACCAAGTAAAAACTGAAAATTAAAATAATAAGTTCTATTATATTTTATTTGGGGATCGCATTCCATTTTCGTAGTTTGTTTGAAGAGGTATTAGAAGAACAGGAGAACAGAGGACTCTATGAAAGTCTAAAAAATAGGCGAGATAGGTTGGTAGGATATCTTCTCAAACAAGAAGGTCTAGTCAGAGACTTAGTAGAGACAGAAAGGGGAGTTAGGAGGGGTAGATGTAGACCTAGATTAGATTACTGTTCGCAAATAGTTAAGGATGTGGGATGTTCTAGTTTTGGGGAAATGCGAAGATTAGCTCAGGATAGGAATGAGTAGATCATTTTAAAGGTTCATTTTGCCCCTAGATATATTATTTAGACAGATGAAGTTTACATTAGTATTGGCGGAATTTTCTGGGAGCAACGAGCACTATTGGTGCGATAGCAACCATCTTCGTACTGTCGACGTTAGATCTTAAGAAGGGTTTGGTTTCTGTGTTAAGTGTGCTTAGTAGGCTATCATGTTCTATCTTATCACTTGTTTCAAGAGCATTTTAATGGCCAGCGGAACTATGACATCTAAAACGAGGAATTTGTGGAAAATTTACCATTAGCCGAAGCAATTAGCAAGTTCTATCAATAAGAAGGTGCACTTCCTGGCATGGTGGCATATTCCACAATAACATATACATGTACGTTGTATCGTAATGAAAGATATTAAGAATTACCAAGTTCACCATCCTCATCATGATAATGTCGTCAGTCCTAAGGACCAAGTCAAAGAATAAATTAAAATACAGTTGATGAACTGCGAACGTCACATTTACTTTGACACCATCTCCCTTGTCATGTGTCATCTCATTAAACAACACTCCTCTCTTCCCTTATCAGTGAACATATTTTTTATGGAGGGCCCCGAAGATTATGTCGTATTTAAATATTTTTATTTAGTACCTTTTTCCCGAATACTAAACATAACTAAACGTAAAATAATAAAGTACTTAACATTTCGCATTTTGCTTATTTTGTGAATTGTTATGAAACATAAATAATTGAAAATGTTCTTATTTTGCCAATAAAATTGAACATTGACGTTGTCCATTATTTCAGGTGAAGTGAATTCGCCTACATTGAAACCGTATCCAAACTGGGAAGCACATCAATCTGAGAATGACAGCGCTATTCCAGAAATTGTATCGCCATTTAGATTGAGAGCCGACAGATGCGGACATCTTTGGGTACTCGACAGTGGCATGGCCAACATACTCGAACCTGAATACCAAAATTCCGTACCTCCCTCAATAATTGTCTTTGACTTGAATGACGACAGCATCGTAAGAAGGTAAAAAGTTAAATTATACCATTTCAGGGAAAGCAATTTATTTAATAGATACTAATAATACATATGCGCCTAATAGAGTCAATTTTGTACAATTATCGGAGTTAATGTTTTAGAACGAGTAATACTTACGATTCATTCCAAAAATTGAGTAAAACATATAACTTATCCACGGTTACTGATCAGGTAGATACAAAATTAGCAAGTCTCCACTGTTAATATGGAGCGTTCAATAATAAAATCTCTGATTAAACATACATACAATTTTTTTAGACATCTTTTAGAAGTGAGTTAGTTTAATATGAAATATTATTCTGAAAATTCATTTCTTGAATTCTTTTTTTGCCCACTACACACTTCCTCATTAATTTTGTATGTATGTTTAATCATAGTATATATTAGTTCGACGGATTTGTGACCTAATAAGTACGGTTTGTCGTTGTTGCTGTTGTCATCTCTCGTAGCTTAGTGGTCAAAGCATTGGCGCGTAAAGCCAAAGAGCCCGGGTTCGATTCCCGGCGGGGGTGTGACAACAGCAACAAATTTTTCCTCATTAATTTGAGGAAGTGTGTAGTGGGCAAAAA